GGAGAGAGAGAGAGAGAGAGGGAGAGGGAGAGAGAGAGAGAGAGGGAGAGTACACCTGACCTCCTCTCTCTCAGAACAATCCAACACACACGCACACATACACGCACACACGTCAGTCACCCCCAGTTCCACCCTCCTCCTCCTCCACCAGCCAACAAAAATGAAAACAGATAACAATGAACTGCCATCCTGACGAGTGGGGAAAAACCAACACAACCAAACAAGAGAATATTAAAGACTGAAGCGTAACCTCGGCGTCTGGGGCCAAGAATGAACGTTATGTGTCGTCAAGTGAGAGTTTTAGATGACGTGTACCTGCGTCTGAGAATACAGTGCTTTATTAACCTGAGTCTAACAGCACAGTGCCTCATTAACCTGCGTCTAACAGCACAGTGCCTCATTAATCTGCGTCTAACAGCACAGTGCCTCATTAACCTGCGTCTAACAGCACAGTGCCTCATTAACCTGCGTCTAACAGCACAGTGCCTCATTAACCTGCGTCTAACAGCACAGTGCCTCATTAATCTGCGTCTAACAGCACAGTGCCTCATTAACCTGCGTCTAACAGCACAGTACCTCATTAACCTGCGTATAACAGCACAGTACTTCATTAACCTGCGTCTAACAGCACAATACCTCATTAACCTGCGTATAACAGCACAGTACTTCATTAACCTGCGTCTAACAGCACAATACCTCATTAACCTGCGTATAACAGCACAGTACTTCATTGACCTGCGTCTAACAGCACAATACCTCATTAACCTGCGTATAACAGCACAGTACTTCATTAACCTGCGTCTAACAGCACAATGCCTCATTAACCTGTTCCACACCTTTGTATAAAATGTCAACACAAATATTTAACTGGTAGTAAATATTGTCTTTCTTCAACTCAATAATAGTTTAGTTCATTAGAGCACAAAAGACACGCAGCCAAATTTAGGGAGCACCTGAAGATTAGCCCCCCCTCCCACCCCCCTCCCACCCCCTAGTTTATTTCACCTGATAACAATTAAATACCCTAACGCTACCTGGGGGTGGGGGTGGGGGGGGGCGAGGTTAGGTTAGGAAATTGGGAAAGTTGAACACCGACGGCACTGAAGTCACTGAATTTGACGAACATAAAAGTTTGATGTCAATAAATTCATTAAATCATACAAAACGAAAAGGCTGACGTCAGTAATAAAAGCCTGACGTCACTACAAAACCCTGACGTCAGTTATAAGTCTGAATCAGTACAAAAAACTGATGTTATTACTAAAACTCGAACGTCACTGAATCATACATAAAAAGTTCTGACGTTATTGAATCATTCATAAAACATCTGACGTCACTGAAGAACATAAATAATATCTGACGTCACTGAATCATACATAAAAAGTTCTGACGTCATGGCACCATACAACCAAGAATTGCATCGTGACAAGCAATGATAAGTTAGTTTGCAAGAGACTGGCTAAAGACCTTGCAACCTGCCACGATCAATATCATCACCGGGAAGCAACAAGGAGCACGACTAACACTCACACACACATGATATCGTAACAATATTTAACCACTTGGAAGAAGAAGAAGAAGAAGAAGAAGAAGAAGAAGAAGAAGAAGAAGACGAAGAAGAAGAAGAAGAAGAAGAAGAACGAAGAAGAAGAAGAAGAATAAGAAGGTCAGTATTCAGTCCAGCTTGTGAGAATAATCTACCATGCAGGGCAGCACCGAACGCCTCATCTTTATACACTAAGTTAACCCATCAATCACAAGCCACTGGACTACCTGGGATCTTTACAAATGGGGCGAGGATTACTGCTTAAACTTTGACGCCTTATCCCCACGTCTCACGCCCACGTCTCACGCCCACGTCTCACGCCCACGCTTCTTAAACCCAAGCCTCACGCCTATCCCTTACGCCTACACTTCACGCCCACGCCTTTGTCTCACGGCCACACACCCCACCACCCCGCCCACATACTGGTAAAGTGGTAAACAATTCTAATTTGATACAAGTTGTTAATGAAGTGAAGGACAGGTGAAGTACAGGTGAAGGACAGGTGAAGTACAGGTGAAGGACAGGTGAAGGACAGGTGAAGGACAGGTGAAGGACAGGTGAAGTACAGGTGGAGTACAGGTGAAGGACAGGTGAAGTACAGGTGAAGGACAGGTGAAGGACAGGTGAAGGACAGGTGGAGTACAGGTGAAGTACAGGTGAAGGACAGGTGAAGGACATGTGAAGTACAGGTGGAGTACAGGTGAAGGACAGGTGAAGTACAGGTGAAGGACAGGTGAAGTACAGGTTAAGTACAGGTGAAGGACATGTGATTTGACTTATATAATGTGGTGCTATAGTAAGGAGGATCACCTGAAGATTAACCACCCTAACCTAACCTAACCTAACCCACCAAGATAGCGTTCAGGTTATTTAATCATTAGGTGAAATAAACTAGAGGGGATGTTTACATTTCAGGTGATTGAACACAAATGAAGTAGTACAAATATTAATTACAGCAACGAGACAACGAAGTGTAATTTGTAGGTTATGTAATTAATGGTAAGGGGATAATGGTAGATATAATGGGTGTAATTAAGGGGAGGTGGTAAAGGGAAGGCAGAGAATAGGTAGAATGAATACATCAGGGAGAGAGAGAGAGAGAGAGAGAGAGAGAGAGAGAGAGAGAGAGAGAGAGAGAGAGAGAGAGAGAGTGTGTGTGTGTGTGTTTCAAAGCTCAAATTTCACCATACACATAACACACAACCCCACATAACGCTTGTCTGTCCTCTCCTGACCATTCGGCCCTCGTGACCTTTCTAGAATCCTTCGGGACGTATGACCTTTCTAGAATCCTTCGGGACGTATGACCTTTCTAGAATCCTTCGGGCGAGCATTACCAGTTTAAAATCCTTTGGGACACACACACACACACACACACACACTTTCATCCAGTTGTTGAGGTTTTTATTATAAACATTATATTTCAGAGTTTTTTTTGGGAGATTGTTTATATTTGATTTTTGTATTGGAAAAATTATCCGAAATATGATGGGATTTAGTGGTTCCTTGATATATATTCCTTGGGGGAGGGTGAGAAGGGGAGGGGTGAGGAGGGGAGGTGAGGAGGGGTGAGGTGAGAAAGGAGGGGTGAGGAGGGAGGTGAGGAGGGTGAGGAGAGGAGGGGTGAGGAGGAGGTGAGGAGGGTGTGAGAGGAAGATGGATTGGGGTAAGGGGATATAGAGAGGAGTGAGTAGAAGGATTAGGAGGGAGGAGGAGAAACTCATCCCCACCTCACTTCAGAGCTGTTATGGTCTTTTAAGTGAAGTCTAACAACATGACGCATATGTATGAGGTGTCGGGGTGGAGGTCGGGGAGGAGGGGGGAGGAGTGTCGGGGAGGGAGGGTGTCAGGGGTCGGGGAGGAGGTCAGGAGGTCGGGGAGGGTGTGGGGAGGAGTGTCGGGGAGGGGTGTCGGGGAGGAGGAGGTGTCGGGGAGGGAGGTGGAGGGTGTCGGGGAGGGGTGTCGGGGAGGAGTGTGATTAAAGCTACAGCAACACCAAGTATAAGACATCACACAACTTGGCCAATCAGACAACTGGAATAGTTCAAACTACCTTAAAATACTTGTTAGAGGCTTGGTGATGAACGACTGAGGCTTGGTGATGAACTACTGAGGTTTTGGTGATGAACGACTGAGGTTTTGGTGATGAACGACTGAGGTTTTGGTGATGAAAGACTGAGGTTTTGGTGATGAACGGCTGAGGTATTGGTGATGAACGGCTGAGGTTTTGGTGATGAACGACTGAGGTTTTGGCGATGAACGGCTGAGGTTTTGGCGATGAACGGCTGAAGTTTTGGTGATGAACGGCTGAGGTTTTGGTGATGAACGGCTGAGGTTTTGGTGATGAACGACTGAGGTATTGGTGATCGAAGCTCCCGGTAGACGAGGCTTATGAGACGGCCTTTCTTAACAGTGGAGAAGGACACCACTCAATGACCCGTGGCTGACGATGGGCTGACGATGAGCTGACGATGAGCTGACGAGGAAAATACCCGGATGAAATCGATAGTGGTGGATCAGTAGAACTCTACCCCTCTCTTTCTTTGTCTCTCTCACATTCTCTCTCTGTGTCCCCCCCTCTCTCACTCACTCTCTCTCTCTCTCTCTCTCTCTCTCTCTCTCTCATTCTCTCTCTGTGTCCCCCCTCTCTCACTCTCTCTCTCTCTCTCTCTCTCTCTGTGCCTGAGGGTTGGCGACCATGGCCCTCCACTCGGCTTGTATATTAACTAGTCTTTCCAGATGTTGACTACGATTTTAAATTAATGTTATTCACCCATTTAATTATCTTGTCTCCCTCTGGCCCTCACACCATCACTTTTAACCTATTAATATCTATATCATTATTACCATCATTAGTGACTAAGTATCTCAATTTCCTTATTTTATTGATTTCCAGTATTGTTCTCCAGATAATCTTAGTGTTTAACTGGTTTATATATCATTACAATGGTGTGTTAACTGTGGGGCCAGTCGTGTGACATTTACTGCCCAGGAGACGACAAATGAAAAGAGTAATATCAAGAGTGTGTTAAGAGTGTGTTAAGAGTGTGTTAAGAGTGTGTTGTTGTGGTACGGAGACCCTTGTAAAAACTGTCTTTTATTTACTACAACTATAACTGTACGTTTGTAAAGATGTACTGAATCTTTTCTTCTCTTGAGGTACAGGTAGCAGCTTCTCTTATGTTTCATTTTCAGGAAGTTCTTCAGTAGTGGTTAACCTTTTGTTATTATAGTGTTGGCGATAGAGAAACAGTCGTCAACACTATCTCTCTCTCTCTTTCTCTCTCTCTCTCTCTTTCCTTGTAGTAACTCCCCCACCTCCTCTAGCCGCCTCCCCGTCCCATAGAGTCAACTTCCCCCAGAGAAACAAGACCTTTATCTATCACTTCAAACATTTTTCATTGTTTACTCTGATAACCCTGCAATCTCTATATCTTCCCCTTTTCCTCTATAGAGAAGAACAAGTGTGAAGAAAAGGACAACGAGTGTGACGATCCCAGAGGAAGTAAGTAGGATACCCTCTTCCCAATTTGGTCTTCCCCCCCCCCAGCTTGGTAGGGTTGGTTGGCCTCACTATACCCCTCGTAGCCAGTCGAGAGATGATTTAGGGTGACGCCTCAGAACGTGGTGTTGACCAGTGGTGGCGGAGGCATGGGCGAGGGCATGAACAGTACCACAGAGGACTTCAGGTGACGAGAAGGAGGTCACAGTTTTTCTTTTTAGTCTGAGTCTGCCACCAATCAAAAGCCCAGTATTACTTAGCCGTCAAAGAATTGAAGATTTATATGGGTAAATGACGGCAGGACCGGTGCCCCCAGAAACCCGCCCCACTGGCTCCACACCCACCCACTCACCCTCGGCTCAGCCAAGCACCTCGCCTCTGTGTTGTCGTGCACACCACCACCAGAATGCTCACCGTGTGATAGACTGCACATTGTGTTATTGATGAACTGAGGTAACCCACGACCGCGCGCTCTCCTACCCTTTATAACACATCTCCCCTACCCTCTATCGCACATCTCCCCTACCCTCTATCGCACATCTCCCCTACCCTCTGTCGCACATCTCCCCTAACCTTTCGCACCTCCCCAGACTCGTGCACACTCACCAGGATTGTACATGAAAATAAATTATTTTTTCATAAAATGGTTCAGCTTTTGGTGTGCCTCACTAACTAACGCTCCACGCACCGCTCACTGCTGCTCGGCTCTGTCTGTCTGTGCGGCTGAAGGCCTGAGCTCGCTTTGCTTTCCCCCAAAATATCATACTGTCTACATTTTTGTTATTCAGACGTTTGGAGGTTCAAAAAACAACACTAATCATTACTTATTTAGAGGAAACAAATGTTCATTCAGTGAAGGATGATTTAGTCTGAATAATAAAGAGTAGAGAGAGACTGAACACGGTTGGTTATGAGTAAATGTAGTGTTTTTGAGGTAGTGTTAGTGACCCTGACCCCTGTTGTTGCGGCCGCCTCCTGCACCTTCAGAATACTGCAGCAGCTGTAGTGTGTGGTCGTGATGTTCTTCAACTACTTGATGGTCAGGCATGAACCATCACTAATATATATACTGTATATAATTTTTGTTAGAAATTGTCCAAAATGAGTAGCCTTTTTTTCAGGGTGTTTCATCGGCAGGTTAGTACGATGGTGAAGCACTGGTATATATACTGTATATACGATATAGATATATCCCAAAACACAAATATATATATATATATATATGTGTGTATGTTACACTAAATAGAATTAATTGTCTAATAGCTAAAACTTCCAAAAATTTAGGGGGGAAATTCTGACTGGTCTAACTTAACCCACCTAACCTAACCTAACCTATTAGAATTAATTTCCATTAACTTGTAGTCATAATAAGCAAAATTTATATCCCTCTGTGACGTCAGTTAGTTTTAAAGTTTAGTTGGTGATTATTTCTATTTAGCGTGATATACACTCATGCATACACGTGTATACACATGCACGTGCAAGCACATTGCACTTAAAGACTTACACACACACACACACCAAGGTGACGGAGTAACCCACTACCTGCTAAGTAACAAGGAACCATCTGTCTCACTTACCATAAGTAACGATAAGTAACTTTACTCACTTTACAAACGTTCTAACCTCACCCACGAACTGAAATACGACCCCACGACCTCAAATACGACCCCACGACCTCATATACAACCCCATGACCTCAAATATGACTCCATAACATCAAATACGACCCTACGACGTCAAATACGACCCCCATGACTTCAAATACGACCCTATGACTTCAAATATGACCCCAAGACCACGCCTGAACGACAAAGCAAACAGAATAAAGACGAAGTAAGCTTTTCACCAGGTAGAAATTTGTGGCCCACTTGTTGCTGGGCGCCGCAGGTGAGCCGTGAACCTGAGGTGAAGGTGATTAGGAAGCTGCCAAGGTGGTAATGGAGGGGACGGCGAAGGGCGGGCGCTGAAATTACCACTAACAGGAGGTGGTGGGAGGGGTGGTGGTGATTCTCGCTGTAAAATCACGTAGGAGGGTTAAAGTGTGTGTGTGTGTGTGTGTGTGTGTGTGTGTGTGTGTGTGTGTGTGTGTGTGAACGAACCATGTCAAAACTAACTCAACCTCTATGAACGACCCTTGCGGGGAAGGCTGAGCTTGGCGCCCAGGGCAGGACTGACCCATTTTTTGAGGAAACTAGGTCATGTGTGAAGGTCACTAGGCCAACACCCACTCACATCTAATTAATTTTGTAAACGTTAAATTTCACATATAACAAATTAGTCTAATAAACTATCTCTGAAATATTTGCATCAAAAATTCGAAGCTAATTTACTAGTGTTTTGTCCCGCCTTCAGTGAGATATAACCCAGAAGACGTAGGAAACACCGTCCTCCCGCCCGTACGTCCTCCCTCCCTCCCTCCGTCCGTCCTCCCTCCCCCCTCCGCCCGTCCGTCCATCCTCCCTCCCTCCGCCCGTCCGTCGTCCATCCTCCCTCCCTCCCGCCCGCCCCGTCCTCCTTCCTCCCGTCCGTCCGTCCTCCCGTCCGTCCGTCCGCCGCCCTCCTCCCTCCCTCCTCCGCCCGTCGTCCTCCCTTCCTCCCCGTCCGTCCTCCCCCGCCGTCCTCCTCCTACCCGTCCGTCCGTCCGTCCTCCCACCCGCCTGGCCGTCCCTCCTCCTACCCGTCCGTCCGCCCCTCCTCCCGCCCGTCCGTCCATCCGTCCGTCCTCCCGCCCGGCCGTCCCTCCTACCCGTCCGTCCGTCCGTCCGTCACAGTTGGTTTCTGCTTAATAACATTTAATATAGTCGATGGTTCAGAGATACAATGTTGGCATAATGTGTGTGTGTGTGTGTGTGTGTAAGGAAGACATTCATGCCAACTTTAAATGCCTGAACTTAACTATAACACCTTAAAAACCGTAAGCACCATAACATAACACCATAAGCACCAAAATTCAACACCATAGACAACATAATATAGCACCATTAACACTGTATAACACCATAAACACCATACCATCAGTTTGTACTTTTTTTAGATAATAGTTTTTAAGTAGAACAATTCTCCCCCTATTTTTCTGCTTCAGGTGATTTTTATACTTTGTTCAAATTTTCTTAACTATTCGCATTTGACATTTTGCATTACATTATTTCCTTTAATAAATATACAAATAAAATTCAAAACAAAAATAATATCTAAAAGTCTTTTGAAATTACTTGATATAAACTGTTTTTTTAATCACGTGTATGTGAGGACTGGAAAATTTGAACACATATTGGGAGGTGATTTTGTTTAGTGATTGTAGCTCCTGTAGTCAATGGATGTGTTGTAGACGTGAGCTACATTACAAGGTTCAACTGAAGGTCGGTTGGGTTCCAGTTGTGATCGATTTGGGTTCTATTAGACCCCAGTCCTCTCATAACTCAGATGTTTACAGAGCCAAACTCCTTAATTATCCTAATGTGAGTGTGATAGGATATAATTAATCGAACTAAAATTACATAGTGGATTCAGAGGTGGGGGCCCTAACCCTCAGATGAGCCCTGAAAGGTCCAGTTCAGGGGATGAGTTGACTAGGTGGTGTTGTGGTGTGTCTGGAGAGTATACCTGTACAACGGAGATGTTTATAACACCTTTGCGTTATATAAATCAGTGTTATGTTAATTTCTTATCTCTAATACGACCCTGATTTTAATTTACGATTGATTTTTAGATGTACAAATACACTATTAATGTCTCCAGTGTACATTTAGTCTCCAGGGACAGTGTCTAGTTATGTGTGAACCCCTGGGCTGGTGTCTTAAAGTAGTGGGGGTCACCTTGCGGCTGAGGTTCGATCGTCTTCACCAGGTCGTCACGAAAATTCTCCAAATTAAAGCTGTTGTCTCCACTAGGTCACTATCCGTCCATACTCTTTTGAAATATCATATATTTCCAGTTCTTAAGTGTTTGTAGAAGGTCGTCTACGTACAGTATATGCATGAGTTGTTTTATCTTGTCAATAATAGGTGTGTGTATATATGTGTAGCACCCTCCCTCACCGCCACCCTGGTATGGTCACTCCGTCGCCTCACTCCTCTCTTGTTGCTCTCTGTGTCTCGCACCTATCCCTGTTTAACCCTTTAACATTGTTTACATGTATGTAGTTAAATATTTTCATTGATTATAAACGCTATTTTGAATATAAACCTATATTATTTGGCCCTAACTTAATTTTCATGTTTTTCAGCTTTAAGGTGAATATATGTATGCATCTTATTATGTCTAACATCTCTGTTCAACGTGAAATGGATCTACTGAAGAAAACTTTACACACAATATATTCATAAACTTTCCTTCACCACGTTGTCACAGTGAACGTCATCTTAACTGACTCAGTAACTATAACGCCTCACAGCTACTAAGTTCATACACTGAGTTGAATCTTTAGTTAAGTCTCTGCCCACCACACAGCCCCTTCACCACCCATCACCTACCCACCACACAGCCCCTTCACCACCCATAACCTACCCGTCACACAGCCCCTTCCCACCACCCATAACCTACCCACCACACAGTCCCTTCACCACCCATCACCTACCCACCACACAGCCCCTTCACCACCCATAACCTACCACACAGTCCCTTCACCCATCCTACCCAACATCACCCATCCTACCCACCAACCCTCACCCCATCTACACCACACGTCCTCACCACCATCACCACCCACCACACTTCACCATCACCTCCACCACACAGCCCTTCACCACCAACCTACCCACCACAGTCCTCACCACCATCACCTACCCACCACACAGCCCTTCACCACCCATAACCTACGCACCACACAGCCCCTTCACCACCCATCACCTACCCACCACAGCCCCTTCACCACCCATCACCTACCCACCACACAGCCCTTCACCACCCATAACCTCACACCACACAGCCCCTTCACCACCCATCACCTACCCACCACACAGCCCCTTCACCACCCATAACCTACGCACCACACAGCCTTCACCACCCACCACCACCCTCCACCAACCCACCACACAGCCCTCACCACCATCACCTACCACCACACAGCCCCTTCACCACCATAACCTATCCACCACACAGTCCCTTCACCACCCATCACCTACCCACCACACAGCCCTTCACCACCCATAACCTATCCACCACACAGCCCCTTCACCACCCATAACCTATCCACCACACAGCCCTTCACCACCCATAACCTATCCACCACACAGCCCCTTCACCACCCATAACCTACGCACCACACAGCCCTTCGCCACCCATAACCTACCACCACAGCCCTTCACCACCCATAACCTACCACCACAGCCCTTCACCACCCATAACCTACGCACCACATTGTCTCTGTGTTTTTTCAGTAACTTATGAAAAAAAATTGTCTTGAATAGCTTTTTAATTTTTATAAAATTTATTTCTTTATAACATTTTCTTAATATTTATAATTTTAGTGAAACTTGTAGAGAAATACGCCATTTTGTTTATGTTCAATGAAAGACAACATGAACCAAACCTAACCTAATGAAACAAGGCTAACCTAACCAAACAAGGCTAACCTAACCAAACAAGGCATTATTAAAGCTAGATTTGGTTGCTGTGTTTCGTCTACAACCCATTATATCGACCAATGTTTACCAAATTCACCTTCACCACCACTGACCCCAACTGATGGACGATGCAACATACAAGTTTCATTAAAAAATAAATAAATAAACTATTTATTATAGAAATCGAGTAAATTAAACTCTCTCTCTCTTTCATCATGGCGACTTGTCAATCCATTCTAATTGGCTTTACTATTCGTATGAGAACTCGAATAGTTTTTACTTGACTATCTTTCTCTCTTTACTATTTCTTATCTTTTACTTTCCACATCATCATCGCCATCATCATCACCATCCCCACCACCATCACCACCATCACCATCACCACCATTCACTATACACATATTTATCTTCAGTTCCTACCAAGAATTATTCCTTTAAGTTTATCTATCAACTGATGTTACGAGAGGCTGAGACACCTTCCTCAGTGACTTAGCTGAGGTAAACAAGACCATCAGCTGTGAGGTCTTAACACGCTCCTGTATATTTCAGCTAAAACAAAAGACCTTCCTTACCATAAATTAACTCTGTATGTATGGTTACATATATATATATATATATATATATATATATATATATATATATATATATATATATATATATATATATATATATATATATATATATATATATATATAGTTGTATATTCATTTGATTACAGCGTTGAATACTTTTGTTTTAATTTTGCATTTCTTTCAAGGATGAATTAATTTGACTTAAACAATTTGGTCTCTTATTATTCTTCTCGTCAGCTGATACAAACACCAGTGGTAAAGACCGAAGTGGTTGCTGAGGGCAAGAAGGACGTAAGTTAGTAGATGTTGCCTCCACCCGCTGCTGCAATAAGGCAGGTCTGCTCCTTCACACAGGCAGTCACCATCGACCTTAACCAACCCATTCCCAAAACGAAAAAAAGCTAAAAAAAAAAAAATCAGTGAATTACGAAGATAAACTATACCATGAGTTTCGGGTCAAGCAGTAACAACAGTTGACCCAATGTGACCTCTACGATGAATACCTTGGCCCACCCCTCTCGCCCCCTTACGCTCTCTTGCTGACCTCTGCTTGAAGGAACAGACCTACACCCAGTGATTGTATTGTGAAGCACAGTAAAGGCCCTTTCCCGCACGGTGTAACTCCCACTTAAGGTGAATCCATGACCTCTTGACAACGAGAACACCACACACACACACACACACACAGACACACCCAGACACACACACACACACACACACACCCAGACACACACACCCAGACACACCCACCCAGACACACACACACACACACACACACACACACACCCAGACACACACACCCAGACACACAACACCCAGACACACACACACCCAGACACACACACACCCAGACACACACACACACCCAGACACACACACCCAGACACACACACACCCACACCCAGACACACACACACACAGACACACACACACCCAGACACACACACACACACCCAGACACACACACACACCCAGACACACCCACACACCCAGACACACACACACACACCAGACACACACACACCCAGACACACACACCCAGACACACACACACACCCAGACACACACACACCCAGACACACACACACACCCAGACACACACACCCAGACACACACACACCCAGACACACACACACACCAGACACACACCCAGACACACACCCCAGACACACACCCAGACACACACACACCCAGACACACACACACCCAGACACACACACACCCAGACACACACACACACCCCACACCCAGACACACACACACCCAGACACACACACACACACACACACCCAGACACACACACACACACCAGACACACCCAGACACACACCCCAGACACACACACACCCAGACACACACACCCAGACACACACACACACCCAGACACACACACACACCCAGACACACACACACACCCAGACACACAGACACACCCAGACACACACACCCAGACACACACACACCCAGACACACACACACACCCAGACACACACACACACACACACACACCCAGACACACCCAGACACACACACACCCAGACACACACCCAGACACACACACACCCAGACACACACACACCCAGACACACACACACACATGACATTTGGAGGAGGAGGAAGAAGAAGAAGAAGAGGAGGAGGAGGAGGATTAGGAGGAGGAAGAGGAGCAGGAAGAAGAAGAAGGAGAAGAGGAGGAGGAGGAGGAGGGCTACGAGTTGAACCTCTCCTTGACAGCCAACAATTTTTAATCCCAGACCAAAAATATTTTACGAAACATCTCATTTTTTTTTTACCGCTGAATTTTTTTAGTTATTATAATTTTGTTTTGATTCTCAGTTAGTTATTTTCTTTTTAATTAGTAATCTCAGATATATAGACAATTTAATTATATTTTATATATTTTGATAATTTATTTTATTTTTTTTTTACTCCTTTATTGTAAACTTTCACTCTACCACTGTAAACTTTTACTCTACCATAACTTTCACTCTACCACTGTAAACTCTCACTCTACCACTGTAAACTTTCACTCTACCACTGTAAACTTTCACTCTACCACTGTAAACTTTCACTCTACCACTGTAAACTCTCACTCTACCACTGTAAACTCTCACTCTACCACTGTAAACTCTCACTCTACCACTGTAAACTTTCACTCTACCACTGTAAACTTTCACTCTACCACTGTAAACTTTCACTCTACCACTGTAAACTTTCACTCTACCACTGTAAACTTTCACTCTACCACTGTAAACTTTCACTCCACCACTGTAAACTTTCACTCTACCACTGTAAACTTTCACTCTACTACTGTAAACTTTCACTCCACCACTGTAAACTTTCACTCTACCACTGTAACCGCTCAAAAACAGACAAGACGACTTCCCTTAACTGTAACTCTCTTACAGCGGGTACACAATACAGCCATCATGTATTTTTCTGTAACCTCTTCTTCATTAGTCCATTTTTAATTCATAATTTATCAATGTTTTCTATATAACTTTCTATAATCAGTTTTTAAGCTCACAATTATAGAGAGTAGGTTAAAAAAATATTACCAAGGTTAGGTTAGGTTAGGGTGTCTATGCTTCAGGTGAAATAACCTAGGGGGCCTAATCTTCAGGTGAAGTAAGCTGGGGTGTCTAATCTTCAGGTGAAATAAGCTGTAGCGTCTAAGCTTCAGGTGAAGTAAGCTGGGGTGTCTATCTGTCTAATCTTAATGTGAGACGAAATCAAAGACTCGGTTAACAAACAGTGTAGAAAAGACCACGGTGAAGACCCTCTATCAAGACTCATAATCCTTCCTCCAGCACCTCCCGCACCTCCCCACCAGCCTCCCGCACCTAACACAGCCTCCCGCTTGTTTCACCCATCACCCAAACTTTCCTACCGAGACTTTTTGATCGGTTAGGTACGAGGAGGAAGGACGTCCAGAGATTGTGAGAGGCTGGGGAAGAAACATGAGGGTCTCTGGCAGGTCGTGAGTAACAGGGGAAAGAGGACGGCTTAAGACTCCTAGCAGGGGAGATTAGGGGAGGGAGGAAAGAGGGTTAATAGCTCGGAGATTGAAGGCATTTAGGAGGTGTCCATTACTAAAGCTGCACCACATGTTACTCGAAAACGAATCATAGTGGACCCAATGCACCGATACACCATAGACTAGACGTTAAGACAATCTCCGATATCACCTCTGGATGCAGTTAGTTAAAGTATCAATAAATAAACAAGAAAGAACCGTGGAGTGAAATCAATGCTAATATGTCGCGGTCCTCTTAAGATCAAGTCTGGAGGATAAAATTATTCCTGCTCATGGTCCGTACAGAGCCTGTGTGTGTGTGTGTGATACCTGAGGCTCAGATGGAAGCCAAACTGATTCTTACGAGAGATATGAGAGCTCTTGATGTGTTTAGAAAGACGACTAAGAGACGTTCATAAACCTTTGGTAGAATTCGAGTAATTTAAACTGGCCGGTACACTGACGTTAAAAGTGCGACGGTCGGGTGGATACAGTGTTAGCCTCCTGTTCAGGGTCGGTAGTTCGGTTCCCAGTTCTCCCAGCTGTAAATGGATACCTACGTTTACAATTTGGGGATATTAAGGCGGTCGAGTACAGTACTGGCCTTATGCACCGAAGGCTCAGTATAAAGTGTGTTGTATCCACACTGTCCCTATCGAGCAGTCATGCCTCTGACATCTACTTTACCTTTTCATATTGACGTTATAAAAAAACAGTAGAATTTTTAGTATGGGAGTGATATTTGCCGTCCTCCTTAACAGCACAATGATACAAGGTTTAACACGTTTACCGAAGTTGTTGCTTAATTTAGGGGTCGACACATGAACAAAATATCCTCAAAGTAATGGGAGACAGCACTTAGATCAGTAACACCGGAGAACCCAGGTCTAAGGCATGATTCCTCATCTCTCAAGATCTCAAACCAACAGCAGAAGAAACTGTGTGAGGTAAGGTATTGTTTTATCTGCCTTGTTAACTATTGAATACAGTGTTAAGCCTTCACTACTGGGACACTGGGGACAAGGCGTGAGTCGGGCTACACATGACAAGACTCTAGGCTAGCCCATCACTTGTCTGGCTGACTAGTGTTACTGAGTACATCATTATAACTGTGCATGACGGTCCAGCTTCAACCTCAGAGTATATGTAGTGTCAGCTGCTGGTTTCAGGTGGATATAATTTTGTTAACCTGCACGAGAACCAATTAGTGTCCTCGCTTGATACTGCCACTGCTTAGCTTGGTGTGCCTGCCTCCCACCACCACTGAACCATTCTTTAACTGCTGTCATTTCATCACAATTTTATTCAATGGACGTCAACACTACCACAGCTAACTCGTCAGTGTAACGTCAGGCACAAGATGCTCATTCATCATATATCACCATGGAGAAGCCTCACATCCACACTCACCACATCTGGACATTAATCAAGACCAGGTGTGATGAATTCCAGGTGTTGGTTGACTATTCATCTGCTAACAACCGTAAGTGTTCGAGGACATCTGAAACAAGTGACCCAAACCGACTAATACGTAAAAAATACCTGTGTTTGAGGGCGGAAGTAAGAGGAAAAGAGGACCAGAGATAACAAAGAGGGAGAAGAGGATAATAATGAAACAACAACAACTTTGTAATAGGTTGAGGGCGTTGAAGGATTTTCGAAGAGGAAACGAATAAGACCTTGAGGGAAGACTTCCAAGATGCCGTGAACATCTTGGCAAAATGAGACGATTAAGAGCACGAAGAGTTAAGACCTGTAGTGTCGAATCTTTCTTGTGGTGAGAGTGTATTATCTCTCTCTCTCTCTCTCTCTCTCTCTCACGAAAGTTCTGATAATACAAGAGGCACAATCACGACTTTCTCTCAGATGGAAAGATTTTCTAAATGAAATATCAAATCCCCTCTCTCTCTCGCTCTCCCTTCTTCCTGAAATAGAAAGAGAGAAAAAAAAAGTCAAACAGAGAGAAAGAAAGAGAGAGAAAGAGAGTCACTTTAACAAGAGGGGAAAGTGAGAAAGAGCCACAACCTCCTTATCGTCTGGTACCGCCGCAGGAAAAGCGAGGAGTTCTTGGATTACAAAGCCCAAGACGACAAAGCCTTCCCGAAGCTCATACTTGGCTGGCAGCTCTCAAGAATTCTCCCTCTACCCCCTGGTATAGTTCTCACCCAAAACGGTTTTTTTTTGGTCAAAGTTTCCTCTCGGTTTACCATAGTCGGTTGAGTTTCCATTTCTCAGGAGGTTAGGTTGGGTTAGGTTAGGTTGGGTTGGGTTAGTT